GGGGGGGCAGGGGATCAGAATGAAAGTTGAATGTAAATGTATAGACTTTGCTAAAATGCAGATGCTTCTTGACTTTTGACATGAGACAGAAAATACCCAATTAGAGGAATGTCCAAGAAAAGATTGAATTGAGATCATGAAATATTAGACTTAGTTTTGGTTTAACTCGTCCGTTTCCTTCCGTGAACACCAGTGCACTAACGTTGGTTGGCTGTATCTGCTTTAAGGACGCGTAGTTTAATGCATACGTCATCGGTTTGTGTGCAGTAACCGGCACAACGTTCTGCCGCCTGCCCTGCCATTGAACCTGGCAACCAGCCGTGAAACGGCCGCGCCGGCTCCGAGATAATGGGATTCAGCAATATGGATCATAACGCTCGGGACAGACGACGTGGTGGGGCCCCGACAAACGACCTCCAAGATGGGGGCCTTTTTTTGTCCCCCCAGCGGGGTGCCCCAACAGTGCTGAGAGCCAGGATGGTCCTGGGTGGCCTCAAATTGCCGATTGTGCAGGTGTGCTGGAGGGTGAGGTTCTGGGGTGGGGAAATCCAGGCGTGGGTGGGGGATGAGGAAGTAGGGGAAGATTGCTGCATTTCAGTGGGAATATGGAAACAAATTAGGGTTTAGGTGTGTGTTATGTGGTATTTTTCGTTTTGCTGTTTTGTTTATTTATTGAATTTAAGTCGAATGTCGTTTTTAATGCATTTTATGTTTTTGGTGGTGTTTTTCATCAGAAGGGGACAGGATGTGGAGGTAGAGCGAGGACCCTCTCTTTGAATATTATGTCTCGAATTCATGGTTGATCGTTCCTTTTGCTTGTTGGATTTGATTCACATGACTGAAACATAATATTCTATTTTTTCTTTCTTATTCAGCCAATATCGAATATCAGGCACCTTGAGATCACAATCCAAGAGGGTGACAGAGCCTTCAAGAAGAGCATTCTTGATGTTAAGGCATACGTTTTGTAGATGGTGACAGATAGCGAAGTTCTGACAAGCTCGTCAACCTCTTCTATTTCCTTTTTGCTTAACTGAAGTGGGCAAAAAGTGGGCGCTTTAGATTTTTCTGTCTATTGTGTTTAGCAGAGTAATTATAGACGAAGCCTGTTTGTGTTGACTTCGCATGGAATCATCGGTCATAAAAGAGAGGTGACCTGGATATTCCTCTGAAGCCGTCTACATTTCATTATATCAACGACGAGATGACAAGTGGGTTGGAATAATGTCCCTGGGGGTGAATTCAAAATTCCAAGCCGGGCATCATTTAATTTTGTCATCTGTCCCGCCCTAAAGTGCAAACTGATACTTGCGCAAATTAGCTGGAAAGCGGAGACCTGCGAAGCAACTCTGCGAAGTGTCGGGCTAGATCCCCCAGTGGTGTGCCATATCGCCACTGTCTTGATCCAGGCTTTTCAACAGCTATCTAGACAAATCCGTGGCGGCCTTTTCGACGTTCACAGTTTGGACACGTGCCCATGGGGGGTCAAAATCTTTATTTTTGGGCGCGCTCATTTTTACAGGATTTTCTCTTCCTCTTTTCTTTGTTCCTGTTGTTCTGTTTTGTTTTATTTTCTTCTTGCTTCTAAAGTATCACCCAAATGGGACACATCTGTTGTCAGCACCGGGGGTTTTGCTCCCTTCAAGTGATGTTTTAATAGGCAACAGCAAATCCTCGCTTTGTCCCTCTGTCATCCCTTTGTCTTGATGCGGGCATGCACTAAATCTCTTACGATTTGTTCTTTGCTCTAGGGTTTCAAATCCAATATTAGTCCTCTTGGGATAGGGGAATATTCTCCGTTAGTGGTCTCATTTTCGACCCTATTTCCTCAGTTTCGTAAGGCTAGATTTAGTGACCGGATATTAGACCGGACGTTGGAGGGCGGACGTGGGGTGTCTCTCTTCGTGAAAAATTGGACTGTGCTCATTAATGTTGATAACCCGAAGTTCTGTGGTGGCTTGTAGAGGCAGGCGTCACAGATATGTGAGAACCTTATGAATTATTTCAGTGATCTCCGTGTGAACTCATAGTTAAATGGCATGTTAAGTCGGATACTGTTATCATCGTTTTTTGTTCGTTAGATGTTGCTGTATTGATGACTTCCAGCGTCTGTGGCGAGATGCTGAGCTATCATGGTCCCCTGTGTCTCGCCTCCATTCCTTGGTTCTGCCTTATTCCCGCGTTCAAGGATTTCCTCTCTCTTTCTTGCTTCCCCTTACCTA